CGAACCGACCAATCAATCAATCAATCAATCAATCAATCAATCAATCAAGTCCCATCGATTCTGTTCATTCGACAAGATTTTGATCTGTCAAGATCCTGTCGAATCAACAGATTTGACGGGATTTGATTGATTGATTGATAGATTGGTCGGTCGGGATGGATGTATGCACACACATGTATGTAGGAGGAAAAAAAAAAGACTGACCAATCAATCCCATCCGACCGACCAATGATAAAAGACCGACCAATCAATCCCTATCTTTTTTTTTTTTTCCTCCTATATCCGTCGCCACCAATCCATCCATCCCGACCGACCGACCAATCAATCAATCAATCAATCAATCAATCAATCAAGTCTCGTCGAATCTGTCGAATCTGTCAAGATCCTGTCGAATCAACAGATTTGACAGGACTTGATTGATTGATTGATTGATTGATTGATTGATTGGCGGTTGGGATGGGTGGATGGGTGGCGACGGATGTGGGCGAAAAAAAAATAAAAAATAAAAAAATAAAAAGAGCAGAGCAGGTGTGGCATACTGCGTAGCCACACGGGCCCTGCAGGGCCCGTCCCGGACATTCAGCCTAAAAGCCTAAAACTTAGGGCTTACAGGCCCCGTTCGTTTCAGCCTGGATGCTGAAAAACGAGGGCCTGCATGCCCTACCCCGTTTCAGCCTATTTCTGGGTCTTTTCAGACCCAGAGTTTTCAGCCTGAAACGGAGGGCCATTTTCAGGCCCTCATTGTTTCGACCTGCCTCTAAGACTCAGGCACGTAAACAGGGATGCGGAACAGGCCAGAAATAGCCTGTTCCTCACGAGTTTGAGCAGGAGCTGCAGCTGCAGCCCCTGCCTCCCTTCGGCAGGCTCAGGAGGCACACCCATAGTACATAGGAAGTTCCCATGCACTTCACGGGTAGGTAATTCAGCAGGCACGAGGTAGTCTTCAGGATTTCGGCCGCAGCACTCAGGAGGAGCGCTGCAGTAGTCTTCAGCGCTAGGCAGTAGGTGTTAGCGCTAGCTGTAGTCTTCGACGCTGGGCGCCATAGCTGTAGCTGTAGTCTTCAGCGCTGGGCGCTGGTAGGTGGTAGATCGCAGAATGGGAGAGAGACTGGCGGAGGCCATTGTTACTTACCTGTGGCGCCATCGCTCCAGCTCCATCTTCGTGGTACCTGCATCAAGGCGCCAACTTCACAGGTTAGTACTGGACACAGAGAGAGAGAGTTCTTCTTCTTCCTCTTCTAAGTCCACCTTCTCTTCTCACCTTCTCGCCACCTGACTTCTCAGACTACGACAAAGAGAGACAGAGTTGTGACTTGAGACTTGACGACATTGGATCTTGACTTGACATTTGGGATTCAGACATTTCGACGAGGGACTATTTGGGCTTGTGCCGAAGACTTGGTGTTGACGACATTCCCATCTTCCCCCTCCTCTTCGTCTATCCCCTTCCTCTTCGTCTGTGTAAGGTACGGGCTGGCGCTGTCTTCCTGTGTGAAGCGCCAGGCCCATTCACACCATGTAACGGTAATGATGATGTATGTTCAGGGCTGCATTACAACATTGATTGTTCGGATCACTGGTATCTAAGTCTTCCGTTGTGCTATCTTCCGTTGTGCTATCTTATACTTTGTTCTGGTCTGCACGTTACAGTATGCAACAGCGGGGGTTCTGACGTCTGAAACGAGGGGAGTCGACTTCGCGGCGAGACGGAGGAGGAGGCAGAGGAGGGGGAGGAGGAGGAGGAGGGAGGAGGAGGAGGTCTCGGTAGAGAAGGAGGAGGAGGAGGAGGGAGAGGCGGAGGAGGGAGAGGAGGAGGAGGAGGTCCCGATAGAGGAGGAGGTCCCGATAGAGGAGGAGGAGGAGGTCCCGATAGGGAAGGAGGAGGTGGAGGCGCATCCATCCATCCCGATCGACCAATCAATCAATCAATCAATCAAGTCCCGTCGAATCTGTTGATTCGATAGGATCTTGAACTGTCAAGATCCTATCGAATCAACAGATTCGACAGGACTTGATTGATTGATTGGCGGTTGGGATGGGTGGATGGGTGGCGATGGATGTGGGCCCAAAAAAAAAAAAAAAAA